CTCACACTCCACCCGGCGTCCGACTTCTCCGCCTCACCCTCCTGCTCACACTCACACTCACTCTCTCCAGCTCACCCTCCTGCTCATACTCACACTCACTCTCCAGCTCACCCTCCTGCTCACACTCACACTCACTCTCTCCAGCTCACCCTCCTGCTCACACTCACACTCACTCTCTCCAGCTCACCCTCCTGCTCACATTCACATTCACTCTCCAGCTCACCCTCCTGCTCACACTCACACTCACTCTCTCCAGCTCACCCTCCTGCTCACACTCACACTCACTCTCTCCAGCTCACTCTGCTACTCAGGCTATCTGGGAGATAGGGAGCTCAGCTCCCTATGGCGTGCAAGTGGGGAATAGTGATCACTGGACAGGTCTGTGACAGAAGGCATTCAGACTTTGGAATGGTGGTGACCCTTGAATTTTAAGGTTTCCTTTTAACCTAACAGGTTTCGTGGCAATGTTTCAGTTTCATTTGACACGCCCTAGCATCGTGCTTTCCCAGGTGCCAGGCAGCGCTGGAGGCACTTACAAACATTAATTGAATTAATTGTCACAACAGCTCTGTTGAGGATAATTTTATTATCATCCCAATTTTAGAGATGGGCAAATAGGCACGGAGAGTTGAAGCAATGTGCTGAAGGTCACAGAGTCAATAAGCGGCAGAGTTGGGACTCAAGCCCAGGCTGCCTGGCTTCAGAGCCCATGCTTTTGACCAACCTGCTTTTATAAATCTGTGACTTCTAGCCAGTGCCAGATCTGCTAGCTTATTTCTATGGATTATGTATTTTAGAGCAGCTCTGCCGGCAGCAGCATGAGTCTTTCGAATGCCAGGTCAGCTTCACCTCTGCCTACGCTCAGTGCCTCAGCTCAATGCTTGACCTCAGAACCAATCTACCAGCTCCAGCTAAAACAGACACTCACGCACATACTTTTTCCTTCCTAGACTAGGAGCTAGGAATTCAGCAAAGACAGAAAAAAAAAAAAAAGGCTATGAGCTCTGTGGCCTCACGTTCATTCCAAGTGGAATGAAGCTGTACTAGGCAGGGTCGTCCCAGCCCACCCATTCCTCACCCTGTGGGTGGGCAGGGCAGTAAGGCCCCACCACCTATACCTGGGTGACACTGAGCACCTTTATTAATCTGTCTGGGCCTCTGCTCTCTCATCTATAAAATAGGGATAATAATAGCCCTCAATTCACAGGACTGTCAAAAGCATTCAGTGTGATCAGGAGTGTTGAGTGTTTAGCACAATGTCTATAAACACAGTTAACCTCCAGCATTTTTCACCCTGTCATTGCATATTCTGGTGGGTCTAAAAATGTTCTTCCTGTGTGCAAATATGCATGGACAAACTAGGCTAGGGCAGAGAAAAGATTTCACACAAAAATTCACTTCAAGTCAACTTACTCTGCTATTGTAATATTTCTGACTTAAAGAATGTGGTCCCCTGGCCCAGAGAGGGTGGAAAGATGGAGAGGAGAGTTCTGTGACCATTCCTCAGGTCACATCACACTATGGACCAGGGAAGTGTTTCAGTTCTTCTCTGCAGACAGTCAATATTCCTAGGAATGTGATCTTAGAAATACATGTGACCTTCCTCGATAGAGTAAAATCTGATTATAAGTATGTTTTTATCCATTTTTTTTCTTACTACACTCAAATACAAGCACTTAAGTTAGGCTGATTCATGAGATAAAGATTCTGAGTCAATCTTTTGCAATTGTGGATTCTCAGAAGCAGCTTTGGTAGTGAACATATTGTGGACAAGTGATGTATGCCTACTAATGTCCTCTGCAGCCTCGTGGCTAGGGGCCCTGGCAAGGGTAGACTCTGGGTTCCTGTGCCTCCAGAGAACATTAGCCAGGAAACTCGGGGGTCTGCTGCTGCCTCCTGGCTTGGCTTCTGCAACATGAAGGGTGTCAGAGGGGACAGACCCCAACTGAGTGAGAGTTTCAGCCCAGTGAAAACCAGCTGGAGCCAGGTAGTGGAGGAAAAGATACCCAGCATTTTGTCTCACAGGGAGGGTTTGTAGATAACTGCAAGGCTGTGCCTAAAAGGGAGTAGAAGTAGCCTAAGCAAGGGGGCTTCACTTCTGGAAACACTCAGCTTGCATGTGTCAGGAATGTGAAGCTTGGGGTATGCAACTGTGTCTGGACTCACCAGCAGGCAAGAGCCCTCGTTCCAGCCTAAGGGATGCCTGGGGGAGGACGAAAGCTGCAGCTTGTGAATAATAACATGAAAACAAAATCCACTATTGATCATGGAGAGAAGGAAGCAATCTCCTGTATAAACAGTAAATAAATAGAAGTCCAGCTGCCATCCATGAAGGTGGAAGCTATCGACTCTCTCAAATGCTTATTATTTCCTCGACATTCTTGCAGCCTCTCACTGACATTAAAAACACAAGCTGTCTGCTGGGTCTTAGGGAAAGGGGGGATGGGAGGAGTTCTTACCTTTCCTCTGTATTTCTCAAATTGAAAGCATAGTTCTACACAAGGCTGAATCCAAATGTTACTCAGGCTCATGACACGCAGTTGTGGGAATGGATTTAAAGCCCTGAACAAGACATATTGACAGTACAACATCCTGGCCACCTACCATCATTGTCACTGTGACATTGCACATAAATCTCCTGATGTTGTGTTTGAAACCCCATCACCCTGCATGGTGGACCTGCTGTTTTCCCAGCCCTAGAAAATCTACTCCAGCACACATCAACCTTCCTAAGGCAGGAAATTAAGGAAGAACAACCTCTATTCATCTACAGGATGTTGGTAGTATTTTTCTATTTGACTTCATTGCAGCCTGATTTCTTTCAGATTCTAGCATGGTTTCTTCCCAACTTTTAATTGGTGGATCCAGGCTGATTCCTGAGCACATTAGCTATGACTTTTTCAAACTGGCTTTGTGTGGTAGATGAATTTTATGAGCAAGGGTGGAGTTGCTGGGGTTCCATCTCAATACAATGTGCGCTGGAGGTTGTGTTAACTCCTTACTCACACTCACCATTGTCAACTTATTCCAACTTGTTTTTCACAGACCAAAGGGTGAAAGATTTCTTGCATGCTGTTTATGCCACAATACCCACCTCCAGCCAAGGTGCCGAGATGGAGCTGGCCTGCAGCCTTTTTGTGCAAGTGGGAACACCGCTGTCCCCCTGCTTTGTGGAGCAGGTCTCCTGGTGGGCCAACAGCAGCCTGGAACCAGCCGACCTCGGTGAGCCCAACAGCACCGCCATCCAGACTAGCGAAGGGGCTTCCAGACGGACTGCAGGTAAAAGAAAACTGTCCATTTCAATAAGGCTAAGTCAGAGGGCTGCAGAGAAAGAGTCTCACCCATCACTTGTCAGAGGCCATGGTGCTCAGGCCATCTTCAATTACAGCAGAAGTTTGTCCTCTTAGGAGATCCTACCCTTGAATGACAAGGGGACACTGAGTCCCTTTCTGCCACTTTTCCTGCTCTGACCCTCCCCCACACAAATATACACATGGGCACACATATACACACACATGAGCCACAAGAACACACAAGAACAAAGAAGTGTGCTCTTCAGAGCCTCCCAACTCAGAGGACCCCACAGGCTTTGTCCCATGCAACTGTTCGCCCACTGAGCTCTGCTGTCATCTATAATAAACTACCTGTGACAGCAAAATGCAACAGAAGCCAAAAAAAGGGTTTCCTGGGAATGTAGATTAAGGAAATAATTTAAGAAAAAGTTACACACAATAAGATGTTTAGCTCAGCGTTATTGAATAAAGAGACTTACAAACAGCCTCGCTGCCCTGCAATGAGGGGTGAATCAGTGTAGCACAGCACCTGCATGTTATGCAGTTGTAATTATTACAAAAGATAATTAAAATAACGAACGCTTACCAAGTGTTTAGTTTATTTAGTTAGCACTGCTCCAAGTTGATTACCTCAGTTCACCCTCACAATAATCCTAAGGGGTAGGTGCTATTACTCTCCTCATTCTATAACTGGAGAAACTGAGGCACAGAAAGCTCAGCCTCCTGCCCAGGGTCCACAGGCCAGAATTCTAACCCAGATAGTCTGGCTCCAGCATCCTTGATCATTTCAAAAGTTTCACAGCAATGTGGAGAACATTCAAGACCAGTGTTGATTAAAAAGCAGAATAGGATTGGGAGGCCAAGGCAGGCAGATCATGAGGTCAGGAGTTCGAGACCAGCCTGGCCAACATGGTGAAACTCCATCTCTACTAAAAAAACAAAAAATTAGCCGGGCATGGTGTCATGTTCCTGTAATCCCAGCTACTCGGGGAGGCTGAGGCAGGAGAATCACTTGAACCCAGGAGGCAGAGGTGGCAGTGAGCCAAGACTGTGTCACTGCACTCCAGCTTGGGCAACAGAGCGAGAGTTCGCCTCCAAAAAAAAAAAAAAAAAAAAAAAGCAGAATAGGAAGTGATATGTATACTGTGACTGAATGGAAAACGGTGAGTGTATGGACAAGGATGGCAGAATTAAATGCAAAAATTAACATCATTTGTGATAAAGTTCTCTCTCTCGCTCTCATATTTTACCATGTCTTTTCAATTTACTTAAATATGTTTAATTTCCTGCTCAGATCCTTGTGCTGCCAGGGCATAAGGCCAGAGAAGCAGCTCCCAATGCAGGCTGATTGTCCTCTAAGAAAAAGGGGCAGTTGGCTCAGTTGCTCAGAGCACAGAGTCCAGAGCCAGGCTGCTTGGGTTCAAATCCAAGCTTTCCATGGAGCTGCTGGGGTTCTATTTCAATGCAATCCACATTGCATTGGCTAACTGGGTGGATGGTGGCTTCACCCCTCATAAGTATGTGACCTTGCCCAACTTCTCTGAGCCTCAGTTCCCTCACCTGTGAAATAGGGAATAACAATAGAACTGTTAGGAGGAGTCGGTGAGGATTTGCTAAAGCACTTAGAACAGAGCCTAGCATAAAGTGTGTGCTTATTAAACAAATAAACAGCTGGGACAAAAACTATCCCCTTAGGGGTGGTCTGCCTTCTCCTCTTTCTGGCACTGCATGAAATTTTAACTGCAGCCCTCCAAAGACCATACCTTGAATATTGTTGTCTAAGCAAAGGCTCAGTGAGAGATTCAGCTCAGCAGCAGGGCAGGGTGGGGACTGGGGGCGACATTGTGCAGGATCTCCCATCACAGCACATACTCCTTCCAAGGGTCTGCCTGGGGAGGGAATGTCTAATAATTCCTAGGAAATGGCCCCAAACAGAACCAGTAGCAGCATCCCAACCTGTTCAGAAAAGAATAAAAAGCAGAGTCTTCAGCAACAGTTGGTTATAAACACATATCGATTTGCAATGAACAGATTTTAATAAATATGCCACCAACTCAACTCCAGAGATGCCTCACTGCCCCCACCTCCCCTGAGTGGTCATGCAGGTGTCAGGACTTCTGAGTTCTCACTTCCATTTCCCTCTCCACACCCTCATCCCCCAGCAGGGGGTATCATTGTCACCCTCATATCCAGCCCTACAGAGCCTCTGACTCTGGCCCTGTGAGGGTATCTTAAAGACTCTATCTAGGTCTAGGATTTTTATAAAATGACCATATCACTCAACAGTCCCCAAAAGTTGAGAGCAGCTCCTGGTGCCTTGGGTCCTTGACAGCACAAGGAGCTGAGACAGGGAATTAAATATCCTTAAGTAAATTGAAAAGATATTGTAAGATGAAGAGAAACCACCTTAAGCAAAAAGACCTTCATTTTCATGTTTCAACTCTGCATTTAACTTTAGCATTTAACTCCTTGTCCACACATGCACTGGGTTCGGTTCAGTTTCAGTGCACATTTAACCCACGGCCCCCTTGCTTTCCTGCTTGCAGGTGAGGGCCCCAGTGAGGGCCCTGGTGGCTGGCCGTGGGAGCAAGTTGGTGCAGCATTTGCTCAGCTTGTGCTTGTGAGCACCATGTCCTTCCAAGGCACTTGGCGGAAGAGATTCTCCTCCACAGACACACAGATCCTGCCTTTCACCTGTGCCCACGGCCTCGTCCTTCAGGTCCCCATGATGCACCAAATGGCTGAGGTCAACTATGGTGAGCTCTGCCCCTGCTGGTTTGTCTAAAGGGAGAGGAAGCCCGGGCCGGAGGGCAGGAGACAGGAGGCCAGGTCCCTGCTCCTAAGGGATCGGGATGTGTTTCTGCAGGGTCCATCTGCTGGACTGGGCGCACATGGCGGAAGGAAAGACTAGGGTGCCCGGAGACTTTAGAGAGGAGTGTTGGACAGTGTGCTCTGACAGGACAGTGAAAAGACACAGATGTGGAAGAGAAACTCAGTTTCATGCTTGACATTTCCTTCTGCACTAGTAGAATTTGGACCAAACTGCCACCCTGGCAGGCACAATAGGCCCGGATTGAATTGGCTGTTCCTTTAAGGCCGGGTACAGTAGTACCCTGTACCCTTATCCATGATTTTGCTTTTTGAAGTTTCAGTTATCCGCATCAGAAAATATTAAATGGAAAATTTCACAAATAATTCTCAAGTTTTAAATTGCACGCCCTTCTGAATAGTCTGGTGAAATCTCCTGATGTCCTTCTCTGTTCCGCCTGAGATAGGAATCATCCCTTTGTCCAGCATCTGTCTACAGTACGCTGATTAGTCACTTAGTAGCCATCTCGGTTATCAGATCGAGAAGACGTAGTATATGCAGGGCTCATTACCATCCACAGGTTCAGGCCTCTACTGCGGTTCTTGGAGCATATCTGCCAAGGATAAGGTGGCACTACTCTATGTGGTTCTGCATGTGCCATCATCCCCCCATACCCAGCCCTACAGAGCCTTTGGCTCTGGTCCTGTGAGGGTATCTTAAAGACTCTAGGTCTAGGATTTTTATAAAACGACCATATCACCCAACAGTCTTTGGCCTGAAACTGCCTCCTGAGGGTGGGGTGGATGCTCCGTTTTATTGTTTCCAGTCCTCTGAGCCAGCCTCTCTCACGGTCTGGCACTGGTTCGTTCTCCTGGCTCGTGGGACAGAGCTGACCTCTGATCCACTGTACCCTCAGGTCAGTTCCAAGACACCGCAGGACATCAGGTGGGGGTGCTGGAGCTGCCTTACCTGGGAAGTGCAGTGAGTCTGTTCCTGGTGGTGCCCCGTGACAAAGACATCCCCCTGAGCCACACTGAGCCACACCTTACAGCCAGCACCATCCACCTCTGGACCACCAGCCTGAGGAGAGCGAGGATGGATGTGTTCCTGCCCAGGTGAGCAGCTGAGTCCCCCTCACAGGTGCTGTGCAGTCAGCAGTCAGAAGAGCGTAGATTTGCACACAGGTGGTCTGCCTCTAGGGTCTGTGCTTAGCCACTGGGATGACTTGTTTAATGTGTACCCCCAGAAGTTAGGCCAAGAGGAAGTGACCCTAGAGTTTGAGTCCATTTCAGAGCCACCGCTGGCTAGCTCACAGCACAGACTGAAATGAACTAACTTCCCGGAGTCTTCCCAGGACAAGATATTCTGCCTTCACTGGGCTGGACTGGAGCCCCCTGAGGACCCCTGATCCAGCCCTAGGCCACAACCAGTTTTTGGAGAGGAAATGCTCATGGTTCCCTTGTAGGAACGTTCCCCAAATCTTATCCCATCGTAAGAGTATACAACTGCCATTTTTCCAAAACCAAAGAGATAAGATGACTTATGTAACTGAGCAAGTACAGATAAAATTCTGATCAGATGCCAAATTAAGACATAAAAATATGACACTTTAAGTCTCTATGCAGAAGGTTCTCATTCTTTCTAAATGGAGGTGAACTCTCCTTTAAGAAGACCCAATAGGTACAAATACAAATCAAGAAGTGAAGTGGCAGCATTCTATTTTGCTTTTTCAAAACAAAATATATTAGCAAAACTCATAACTTTACAAAAAGATTCCTCTTAGGGCTTCTTTAAATGATGAGCTTCTGTGATATATTTGAAATCAGAGTACATTTATAGCCATTTTTTGACCAGCATTAAGCAAGGAATGTTGTCCAGTAGCCACTAGCTGCCTTGGCCTCTCTCCACTGCCTGGGCTTCCAGTAGGCAAAGGCAAAGTCCTCAGCAGTACTCCCTCAAGGAGTTAAAAATAAATCTATGCACTAGAAGGAAAACATACAAAGAGAGACCCAGCAAGTTAAGGGCCAAGGTCTAAAGTGAGATCTGGCATAGCCCAGGGCAAAAGGTGCACTTAACTCTAAGGTAAAGTGTATCTCTCAAAATGAAATATTTGGAACCCAAACCAAAACACAAAGACTGAATATTTCAACAGATCTCTCAGGGAGGGAGCAGAAGCAACCCTAATCTTCCTATTATATTTGAGAGAAACTTGGCAAGGGAAGGAAGAGCAGCGTTCCATGTCAAAAGTAGAGAGAAAAAGGAGGCTGCTGCGGGAATTTGCCACAACCTTTTTGGGTTTAAGAGACAGATGGTGGGCCTCATCTTGGAGCAGCTCTTCCCTGGAAGAGACCCCAGGGAAATGCCCAGCTCCACTGAGAACTCTCCATTGTCCTGATTCTGCTTTTAGAAGTCTCAAACCCTCAAGCAGTGATCCTGAAAAACGCTGGCAGGCGGGGAAGGCAAGGCAAGGCAGAAATCTTAGTAACACAACTATTAGTTAGCACTTAACCTCATTCTGATAATTTTTTTTTAAAATCTCCTTAAGACTACCAAGACTGCTGTCCAAGAAGGATAGAGGTTTTTAGGAAAATTAAGTTATTTCACAAGTAAAACTAACCAAGTTTTTGTTTGTTTGTTTTTAAGCTAGCTTTAAATCCTTTGGGGAACAAAACAGAAAAAGTAAAAACTGTCTTAGGTCTAGATTTAGGTATAAGCTTTGGATCATGAAAGACACAAAGTCAGCTTTTAGGCAGGAATTTACCTCTCATTCTCTCAAATCACTCATTCTTCTTTTAGTATGACCTGCTCTACAGTCAGCAGGCATTTTTTGTTTAACAAGAGCAAAAAATTTTGCACACTGTGGGTAGCAATGCAAAATTGTGTGACTATGAGATGTGCTTTCAGGTTACACATCACCAAGCAGTGCACTGGTAGATTCTGGATGAATTATGGTGTCTAGCTTCCAAAGTAACCTTTTATGTATAAATAAATAAAAAAGTGCATAGGGACTGTTAATCTTCATGAGGGATGCTTAGCATACTAAAGAAATAATCAAGAAAACCAAGAATGTGTTAAGGGTTATTTATAACCACAATCATGTGATGTCCCACAAGAAAGACTAATAATGTCAAATATGTATGTAATGAATAAAACATTTGATTATTAGGTCAACATAGAAGGCTGAACAGTGTTTTGATATTAGACATAATATATATCTTCTTAAAATCCACCAGATCCCACATACTCAAAATGAGTTTTGCCCTTCCTCCCAGGAGCTGCTGATTATCGTGGTGTGTGGTTTATGCTTTTCTAGGGGTGTTTTTTTAAAAAAATCAAGATATAATTCACATATTATAAAATTCACCCTTTTAAAGTACACAATTCAGAGGTTTTTAGTATATTCACAAAGTTGTGCAACCATCACTACTAATTCCAGAACCTTTTCATCACCTCAAAAAGAAACCCCATATCCATTAGCAGTCACTCCCAACTCCCCTCCCCACCTCCCAGCAACTTCTGATCTACTTGCTCTCAATAGATTTGCCTATTCCAGAATTTCATGTAAGTGAAATTGTACTATATGTGGCCTTTTGTGTCTGGCTTCTTTGCATAATATTTTCAAGGTTCATAGTAGCATGAATCAATACTATCTTCCTTTTTATGACTGAATAATATTCCATTGTATTGATATACTACATTTTGTTTACCTATTCATCAATTTATAGATATTTGGGTGCCCAGACACATTTTGACTTGTTTTAACTTGTTGGCAACTAGAAACAATCAAGTGCACATTTTTTTTGTATATATATTTTTTCAATTATCTTGGATATACACCTGAGAATGCAATTACTAGGTCATGTGGTAACCCTCCATTTTACCTTTTGAAGAACTACCAGACTGTTTTCCAAGTCACTGCACCATTTTACATTCCTACCAGCAATGTGTGTGGAATCCAGTTTCTCCACATCCTTGTCAACACTTCTTAATGACCATCTTTTTATTTTAGTCCTTCTAGTTGGTGTGAAGTAGTATCTCATTGTGCACTTCATTTGCATTTCCCTAATGACTAATGAGGTAGAGCATCTTTTCACGTACTTGGAGAAATGTCTTTTTTGTAGAAATGTCTATTTCAGATGATTTACCCATATTTAAATTGGTTGTCTTTTTATTATTGAGTTGTAATAGTTCTTTATTCTGGATACTAGTACCTTAACAGATTTACGATTTGTAAATATTTTCTGTCATTCTGTGGTTTTTCTTTTCACTTCTCAATGCTGTCCTTTGAAGCACAAAAGTTGTTAATTTGGATGAAGCTCAATTAATCTATGTTTCCTTTTGTTTCTTGTGCTTTTGATGCCATATTCTTTTGAATAGACACCATTGTCTAGTTAGGGTCACAAAAATTTAGGTTTATGTTATTTTCTAAGAACTTTATAGGCTTAGCTCTTATATGTAGGTCTTTAATCCATTTTGAATTAATCATTGTATATCATATGAGGTAGGGATTCCACTTCATTCTTTTTTGTGTATCTATCCCTTTGTCCCAAAATCATTTGTTAAAATGATTTTTCTTTCCTCCACTGAATTTTCTTGGCATCTTTTTCAAAATCAATTGCCCATAAATGTGTAAGTTTATTTCTGGACTTTCAATTCTATCCTATAGTCATAGATGTTTGTTTGCCAGTTCCACACAGTATTCATTACTGTAGCTTTGTAGTGACTTTAGAAATCGGGAGTGTGAGTCTTTCAACTTTCTTCTTTTTCAAGAGTGTTTTAGCTATTCTGGGCCCCTTGCATTTTCATATACATTTTAGGATCAGCTTGTCAATTTCTGCCAAAAAGGCAGGAAGGATTTAGACAGGGATTGTGTTGAATCTATAGATCAATTTGGCGAGTATTACTTTCTAACAATATTAAGTGTTCTGAGCCATGAACTCAGAATATCTTTCCTTTAAGTTTTTCTTTCTTTCAACAATGTTTTGTAGTTTTCCATATGCAAGTCTTGCACTTCTTTTATTAAATTTATTCTAAGTATTTGACTCCTTTGAATTTTTACTTATTTTCAGATTGTTCTATAGTGTATACAAACACAATTGATTTTTGTATCTTAAACTTGTATGCTGCACTTCAGTGAACTCTTTTATTAGCTCTAATAGGTTTTTTTGTGTGTGTGTGTGTGGATTCTTTAGGGTTTTCTATGTATAGGACCAAGTCATCTGTGAACAGAGATAGATTTACTTCTTTCTTTCTAACCTGGATGCCTTCTATTTCTTTTTCTCATGTAATTGTCCTGCTCACCCTCCAGTAGCATGTGAAATAGAAGGGGTCAGAGTGGACAATTCTTGTCTTGTTCCTGATCTTAGGGGGAAACCTTTCAGTCTTTTACTGTAAAGTGTGATACTAGCTGTGGGGATTTTGTAGATGCCCTTCATCAATTTAAGGAAGTTACCCTTCTATCCAAAGTTTGTTGTATGTTTGATGTTTGTTTGTTTGTTTTTAATCATGAAAGGGTGTTGGACTTTGTCAAATGCTTTTTCTGCATCTATTGAGATGGTGGTGTGGCCTTTGTCCTTTATTCTATCAATATGGTATAGTATATTAATTGGTTTTCATATGTTGAACCCACCTTGCATTCCTGGGATAAATCCCACTTTGTCATGGTGAGATTTATATGGTGTTGGATTCAATTTGCTAATATTTTGTTGAAGATTTTGCATCTATATTCATAAGGTATATTGGTCTGTAATTTGTCTTTCTTGTAATATCCTTGTCTGGTATTGGTAAAGGGTATTTTTTTAATCAAGTTATTTTTGTAGCATTTCTTCTGGATCTGCCTTCATAGCCATACAAGACAATCACTCTAAGCTTTTATAGTCATACCTCACTTTTACTGCTGTTTTTAGTTTACAAAAAATGTATCACCCACCAAAAATCACATTTAGTTTCAAATAGCCCTTAATTAACTCTTTCTCAATATAATTGAAAAATAATTTAAAAATCACAATGGTAACAGTAAGTGCATGGGCTGTGCTGGGGATTGTTCCCAGCACTTTACAAGGATTCATTCATTTAATCTTTACAACCCTACAAACACTCATTACAATTATGGTCATTTCACAAATGAGGACTGAGACAAACAGAAGTAAAGTAACTTCCCGCGGAGGTTACTAGTTATGCAGGTAGTTACTTGATCCAGGATTCAAACTCAGACATTGGATTCCCAAGTTCATGCTCATAACCACTGTTTCAGCAACTGGAGGTTTCAAAAAGGATGTGTTTTCAGTATTTAAGAAAATTTCATAAGAGATGGTCCAAAAATTTTTTTGAGAAATGTCAGCATATTTGGAGAAAGTATATTTCTTTTTTGGAAACTATTCTGAAGATTCAAAATATACCTTTATGAGAAAGTATGATATTTTTGGTTAAAGTATGAGTCACACTGTCTTGTATAGCAATGAAGACCTTTGATATTAAATGGTCTTATTCAATATTTTTACTCTCCTACAAGTTCTGTATTATTTATAGAAAAAGACCATCTAATTTTCACTTTGATCTTTTATATTTTCAAAGAAAAATAATATCAGCAGCTCTTTTAAAGGATTTTTCAACAGTAAACCTTTAAATGCCTTGTTCCTGGGGAAATATAAAATTAGTGTGCTGATTCTTTATGCTCAAAGGGTTTACTAGGAAAACCAAGGCTTTAAGTTCCATTCTTTTCCTACTGTGCTCCAAAGGCATAAACTGCACACAGCAAATATGAAAATATATTTTATCCAGTATAAACACTCTATTAAATAAAATACTCTATTAATTGTCAATAAGGCAATTAGTCAACAGCCTCTTTTCTGCACCTACTATAAGTGAGATGCCACACGAGATGGGAGGTAGCAAAATGTAGGTGATTAGAGCATGGACTCTGCACACACACAGGCTTGATTTGAATCGAGGTCCATCACATACTCATTATGTCATCTTGGGCAAGTTTCTTAAACTCTTTAAGTCTTGATTTTCCCATCTGTAAAATGAGGATAATAATAACATAGTTATATGAAGATGAAATGAGATAATCCACATAAAGCTCTTATAGTATCTAGCATAATGTAAGCACTCATTAAATATTAATTCTTATTAAGAAATAATAATGAATTGGAGCCTGGCACAGTGGGGCACACCTGTAGTCCCAGCTACTCGGGAAGCTAAGGCAGGTGGATCACTTGAGGCCAGAAGTTCGAGTCTAGCCTGGCAGCATAGGGAGACCCCCATCTCAAAAAAAAAAAAGTGTTTAAAAAATGAATTGGGATAGCCACTCTTCTCAGGTAGTTTACAATATCATAAATGACGCTAATAGGAAGCAGAATGTTCTATATATCATAAGAGCAAAACAAGGTGTTAATGGGGCTGGGGCTTTAAGAACCAAAGGTCACAAAATAGCTGAAGAAAAGGAGGAGGAGGTAACAACTGAAAAATGGGTAGTAACTAAAAGATAATCAAAGTCAATGGGAAGACTTAGAATGAACAGCAGGAACAAGAGTACAGAGGTGGGGAAAAGCTCTGTGTGGTCAGATTAGGGCTTATGGGAAGGCACCATGGAAGATGAAGCTAGAAATAAATCTGGTGGAGCCAGCCTGACTTCCAAGTTAGGGACTTCGGACTTCATGTGGTGTGCACGAAAGCATACTGAGTGAGAATTTTGAAAGTTGATGGTTTGTTTTTGCTTTTCAGGTTTAGGATCCAAAATCAATTCAACTTAAAAAGCATTTTAAATTCTTGGGGAGTCACTGATCTTTTCGATCCACTCAAAGCTAACTTAAAAGGAATTTCAGGTAAAAATGGTTCTTCTTCCAAACTTTCTAGCCTTGTGTTTGGGGCAGTTTTATCATACTTTGATTAAGGGATTCACGTTTCCACAGAGCCTTCAGTGGTAAACAATCAGAGTCAACATTATGTAAAAGATTAAGAAAGGTGCTCTGTTTGATATAAAAATGTGTTGCTTCTACTAACAGTCAAATTTGGGTTAGATCTTGTGAGGAAGGGATGTTTCTTCAGGCCTTAATCACGGTTTTCAGATACCACCTTCACCATGGGGTCAATGTCCACAATACACAATAAAGAGACCCTCCCTCTAACCGTCATGACTAGGAGTGGACCCAAGGCATTGCTGCAGCAATAGATTCTTCATTATGACCTCCTGCTGTTCCATCAGCTTCACAGGCACCCTTTGTTTCTACACCCTTTTCCTCTCTCCTTCCCTATACCTTCTCTGTCCTCTTCTAATAAGCTAGTCTTGAAACCTTCCCTCATCTGTCCAATTTCCTTTCTTCAAATTACCCAGGCTCTTACAACCTTGCCTTAAAATGTTCTCCTTTCCACCAACCATGCTGAATTTCTTTGCACATAGTTGAATTGCTACTACCAATCAATACATGCTGTTTGCTTATGATAGGGAATTTATATCAAATATAAACAGGGAGTGAATGCCAGAACCTATGTTCTACAATCCTCTCAAGACACCATTAACTAAACTATTGCCAACTCAGAGGCTCAGGTTTGTTTCTACTCTGGATATTAAATTATCTGTGCAAAGATGATACTGTAGCTGGTATTTCCATTGGCCTTGACATTTCCCTTACCTAAAGAGCTTGAAAATCACTATTTTGAATTCTAGAACATCATAATGTGGACTTTTCTAAATTTTGGCTCAGAATCTTCCTTCTTAAGCAATCACAGGAAAATTGAGATTTTGACCCAGAAAAGAAGTCTTGGTTTGGGCTTTAGATGTGACCAGATTGACAGAGTTACTTATCAAATAAAACACAGGAGTGAGAATCTATTCTAGAGAGTTTAAAATCTACCAGCTCTGTACTCATTGCCTGAACACGTGAAGAGATAAGCAAAGCAATAGTCAAGTTTGGGCATAGTGTCCACAACGATGCTGGGCACACAGTGGGATACCAAGTAAATATTGTTGACTTGGTCAAATGACTCAGACAGAAACTTTCCTTACTGACACAGGCATAATCTGACATTTCAGGGAAAGGAGGAATACTGAAGAGAAAAGATCAGAGGGCAAGGAAAGAGCAAGGGATGAAGAACTTAAGAGAATTCTATGTTTGATAATGTGCAAAATCTAACCAGTGTCTTCTTGCAACTCCAGAGCTCAGTCATGGCATCCCTGTTGTTGGTGGTGATTTTGAAAATCAGAGTTCAAAACTTTAAGACCATTCTTGACCTTTCCTTCTACATCACTATATTCAGTGAATCACTAGGGCTTACTGACTGTCCCTTCATAACTCCTAAAGCTCTCCCTTTTATGTCCTAAAAGTACATTCTAATGTGCCATCAACCCTGTGTTCTCAAACAAGACTGATCTTAACACACATCATGTAGCTCCCCTATTGGTGAAGACTTCCAAGGTCCACAAACTCCTCTGGCAAGATCTAATAAGTAACTTGGTTTTAAAAGTACCTTTTGATACCAAACCTCTTTTTTTTTTTTAAAAAAATGCAATTCAAATCTACTTATATTTGCTCAAACCAGCAGAAAGGTAGGCAGGCAGATCTGGCTTATTTAATAATTATCAAGCAATTATCATGTGCCAAGTGATGGCACATTTCCTACTGACAAAACGTGCCAGCCTGGTAATTTTCTCTCATGAAGTTTTGTTCCTCTAAAGCAGGGGTCAGCAAACAATGGCCTACCACCTACTTTTCTAAAGTTTAATTAAAACATAGCCACTCTCATTCATTCATAAATCATCTATGGCTGCTTTCCTGCTACAACAGCAAAATTGAGTAGTTGAGATCTCAGACACCATATGGCCTGCAGTGGCTAAAATATTTAATATCTGGACCTTTATAGAAAAAGATTGCCAACCAAAGTATTGCTTCTTAATGTCCTTCTTTAAACATAATCAAGAGACTAACCACTTCTCTGCTCAAATTGGCTTTCATCTTAATATTCTAGAGACAGGGCCACCAAATCTCTCCAAGAAATAGTTTCCTCATTCTTAAAATGGGGGTAGCTACCACTCACCACACACCTTAATTGTAGAAACAAAATCATTTACATAAAGTATGGCATCAGCAGAGACCTTGCCGGAAAGTAAGTGATCAGAAAATGCTGGCCTCTCTTCTTCCAGTTTACAAGGGATTACCAAGCAGTTTTGTGCTATTGATGGAACTGCAACAACCACAGCAGACATTTGGCCTTTCGGTCCCAGAATCATTTTACTCAAGTTCTCTTTCCCCATTTACAAGTCACTCATCTCTTCCTTCTTGGCATCAAATATTTTTTTTTGCTGCCTGAAGGACTCATTAAATATTATTTCAAGGCCCAACTGAAACCAGAGTGTAATTTCCCCCCAGTCTCCTTGATACTAGATGTTATGCAGCTTTTAAGAGTAATTCCCGTTTCACTCACACTGAAGATGCCAGCTAAAGATACTCTTCTTAAGCAATCCCACTGGCTTTAGGATCAGCAGGCTTTGATATAGACCCATGCCTCCTAGTCCACAAAATACTCCTTGTGCACAAACTTGAAACTCTGAAGAAACTGTCTTCTTCTTGGCTTTTGTAAGTAGGTAGTTTTCAATCTCTGCTCGGTAAGAAGTACAAGTTCTCTGTTACTATGACTTAAATGAACAAACTACCAGAGTTGTTTGGTTGAGTATGGAAGTTACATAAGTTAACTCATGCCACACCACATGTCTGGTCAGAATTGCAATAGAAAGAGGTGCAGAGTGGGCTAGAGGAGACAAATGGAGAAAGCAACTAACCATAGCCTAATTTCAAAGGCCATTTCAGATTCTTCTTATAGCACTCTCTCTCTTTATCCTGGGCCGGGTACTATGTCTGTCTCTCTCTCTCTCCTCCTCTCCCCAACACTTAGTGTTAGCAACTAAGTGACAAGATGAAAAAGATAAACTAGAAACAAGTTCTGGCAATAACCTTTTAAAAGCCACTAACTCTGCCTACAGAAAATAATAATTGTAAAGACAAAACAGCAAATGATATGTTTATCCTGATTTATGAGAAGCTGAGGATTAAATGTAGGGACACAATGTTTATACAACATCATGTTACGAAGTATGACCTTCATAACATGATGGTCATACTTTTTAAGTATGACCAGCCACACCTTTTAAACTTTTGAGTATGACCAGCCACACACAAAGAATAATGGTCTCCACCAACAAAGCACTGAAACAATCATTTGGCTGAGACTTGCAGATGACCCATCCTATGCCATGCCTTTATGGTTCTACAAACACCAATCGGCATTTCCTTACAAGTTTAACAAGGTTAAAGAACATTAAGGCCATTTGTATAGTGGTAAGGGGTGTCTATTATTAATTCATCCAGCATTTACTAAACACATTTATGTACCAAGCATTCTTAATGTAAGTTGGGCAAAGAAATATTTAAAATGATTAAGACATCATTTACGCTTTCTAGGAGCTAATAGTCTAAAAAGGAAGATAAACACCCTAGAAGATGTTACAGAAGAAGAGTGGAGAGTATGCCAGCAAGGAGGGTAGGAAGAGTATCACCCCTTTGCTTTGTACACAGAATGTATTGTAGGAGCAAGGGGGTTTATGGTGGGCTACAGTTTCCCACAGTATGTTCCCAAAATGCTAATCCTGTAAATCTGGGACAGAGAATGGTGTGGGTGGTTCCATGGTTTAACACCACGTATTATAATTGTCCCGTAGAGATCCACTATAAAAGTTAGCAGATTAGCAGCTCTAAGAAGTCCCCTACTGAAAACACAAGTGCAAAACTGTTTAGTATCTCCCACATATAATTAATCATGGAACCCTTTTATAGAATGCCACCTGTAAACAATCTTGAGAACAACTTTTGGGAAAACAGGGTGTATGCCCCTCAATGGCATTAAGCAGCTGTCAACACTTCAGGGGAGTAGAAAAAGACCAGGAGAATCCCTTTGTGCTTGACTTCTTCTAGGTTCATTAGTTGTGAAATATTTCAAAAGGTACTCAATAAAAAATAATAGGAATCTGTAATATAAGACCAAGCAGGAGGAAAAATGCAAAACCACAGATGACTCCCAAATTCTCATTTTTATCACATATGTTGGTCTTTTGAAATGTCAACTCTTACCAGAGATAATATTTAAAAGATGCTGATGCTGGGGCATGGCATGCATAGGCTATGGACCTTGGTTTATGGCTGTGCAAACATATGTCAATTATTGGACCACTCTTATAGTCTGATGGAGAGAAACCATTTAAATGAAACTCTTCAGTTGCAGTTTCAAAATACTGAAATAGCCTGGACCATCTAACCAGACTCATCCACATCAACTGGTCCCATTTCTCACACTGCCAAGGTGCCCAGACTAACACAGAGACATGTTAGCTGATAAGGGGTTTTGTAGTGAATCTCTGCTTATTTCACCAACATTCATTTAAAATGTTCAGACACCATCCTATATGGTAATGAAGTCATGGAAATTAGTAAAACCCTCTCATGACTCTGATAAAATAACCAGTCTTTAACCCTAAAGCTCTTTGTAACTTTGGCACTGCATTTCAGTTTGCTTAATTAGCTAGTAAGAGGGGATAATTATTAATGATAGTGAAATTTGTTTCTTAAAGACCCTACAGAAAAATACCAACTGCTAAAATAAATCAAATTCTTCACTGGTTTTAAGACAAGTGACACTAGTGAATGTTTCTATTGATTTTTACTTCCTCTGGCCCTTCCTATCCCCTTCACTGATGCTGGAAAATACCTGTTCCTTACAGTGAATATAGCCAACTCACAACATTCTGTGCACACCTTACTTACAAGATGGATGGAATGCCGCATATTCTTTACTTTGGTCTGGTTTTATTCTCTCATGGCATTCATGGGCTATCTCCCGTATGTGTGTGACAAACACAAACCAATTTAAGCGTTAAGTCTAAGATGAAACAAAGCTCCCTCACGTATGTGTTCATCAAACTGATTATTTTAACATTCATGCCACAGATACCTCCCAGTGGCACGTTGGAGTTGACTAGCATACACTTTCTGAAAGGTGGGAATGTTTGAGTGGAGTGGAGGGGTGGGATGGGAGTGGGCTTTCAATCAGAATATTCTCAACTCTGCTTTTCAGGTGTGTGATCTCAGATGAGTTAACAGCTCACTCTAAAATGAAAGGATTGGACTGAATGATTTCTTAAGTTTCTTTTGGTTCTAAATCTTTCATTTTTTACTGTGTCATCAAGTATCCTTTCGTCTTTGGAGCTGTTTAAAAATGGTTAATGATTAGCTTACAAAAATCAGCCAATTCCTCTAAATTATCACTTAGTCCTATTTGCTAAACTTATAATCTGTGAAACTTAGCACATAGAACATTTATACTAACCGCTCTGCTTTGTAGATTCTAGCCCATGAGGCATATTAATTGCATAACTGATACACCTAAGTATACAGAATGTAGTCATGCAACACTAGACACATTCATATTACTCTGAATTGTGCCTCAATAAAGCCTGTGATAAAATCCTGTGACTTTGTCATTTTAAAGTGGCTCTTAAAATGCAGTCCAAAAAGACATTCAAGGGAAATGATCTCTGAAGCTTGGTGAAAATGATTCCTGGGCTACAGAATCTGCATTTTAACACATAGCCGGGTGATTCTTATGATCACTGAAGTTTTGGAAATACTGGCTGAAGGAGGGATTGTAGTATTAACTAGAAATCATTTCTGAAAATGAACCACCAAAAAAAAAATGGGGCAGTGCTCTGAATATTATTTTGGGAGAGATTACATATATTTAACAAATTAAAAGTTTTGAAAGTTTGGTAACATATTGAACCTTAAGAGTTTTCCAAACAGCTACCTGAGCCTCCAGTAAAAACAAAAACAAGAATTTTCCACTCTTTCCCTAGCTACACAGTAAGCAGCATTGGATACTATAAATTTTGTAAGTACATTTTTAAAGAATGTGTTCTAAATGTGTTAGAAAAATGTTAATGAGCAATTCACATTTCTATCCTTTTCTGCGGTTAGGCCAAGATGGCTTTTATGTTTCTGAAGCAATCCACAAGGCCAAGATTGAAGTTTTAGAGGAAGGCACCAAGGCATCTGGAGCCACAGGTATGTTCAAACAGAGAATACCCAGTCACACTGCTCACCCATATCTACCTTTCTTAAATTTACCTAGTTGAATCTTCACACTTCTGAATCTTTCCATAACCCCCAAGTTCAGGTGTGGTATAGCATTTTTTAAAAAGGAACACTAAAGAAAATAAAAAGTTTTTGAAAAATGATGGGGAAGAGGAGATACCCATCCTATAAAAATCATTCTGAAAGTTACCTTCAATAAGGAATTTATTCCATGGAATGTGTTCAAAACAGGAGACAGGATTGGCTAGATGGCATCTTTTAATTTTCCCATTTGCACCCCCATCACAACAGTAAACAATGAAATGCCATTAGGATGCTTTGACTTCTTTTAAAAAATGGTATAAAACTTACTTCATAACCAATAGTTATTTTCTTAAAAATGCACAGAAAATGCAATGGGATTCTTCTTTCTTTCCTGCAGCTCTGCTGTTATTGAAAAGGTCTCGGATTCCTACTTTTAAAGCAGATCGGCCATTCGTCTATTTCCTGAGAGAACCTAACACAGGTATTACAGTGTTTTTTGACAGGATTCAGATAAATTATTTATCAGTGTCTCTCTAGCAACAAGGGCTCATTTGTCCACTATCCCCTCAAAAATAAGCATTCTTTCTAGCTGTTTTTATGGTGCTTCAGAAGCTTCCCAGTTGCTGTCTTGTATCCTAAGAAAGGGAACTATTTCATAAGTACAAAGAAACTTATCCTCCATGTTTTTTACCTTCTCATTCTCTCAGCTCATATATAGTTAATGTAGATTTTTTAAAAATGCTATAGATTTCTACTTCTGAAGATACTTGGAAAAATTATGAAAGCAAAATAAATTATAAATCTTTCCCTTTTATCCCCTTTGTCCCCTAGCTTTCTTATCATTTTAGAGTTTTTTTTTCAGGTCACTAGAGTATACCAGAGTAGTCCTCTTGTGATCCTAGTATTCTAATGAATGCACCTGGATTTCTATACTGTTCTGTTGATCTTTCTCAAAAATCAAATGTTTGCCCTAGTACTTTTAAGTCCTACTACATAACCTTATGGTAATCCAAAGATGGTGTGGTACCGGCAAAGCCTCAGTACATCAGAAGGACACACAAATATCCTTAGGCTTCGACAACATTGAACAGTCTTTAGATTATTTCTCTTAATGTTCTTCCTCCCCCACTCACAATTACTTAGCCTAGGAAGGAAAAGAGATTCTCAGTTAAGAGTTGTTGGCAAGTCTAAACAGTGTATTAAAAAGAAATAGGATAGAACAAGACTAATAAAATCAAGCAAAGGTGGATCTACTTTAACTAAACATCAGGCATTATTTTTATTTATGGAGAAAAAATGTCAGAAGTTAGGATAATGAAAATTATGCATAGTTTTACATAAATTGTTAAGGAAATACTGTCAACATCATTTTATCTGAGAATCATTTGCATCCTGCTGTACCTCGTGCTAGAAATCAAAGGAACATTTTTGTGACGAGAAAGATATAAACCATTCACTAGAAAATAATCTATTTGGGATTATTTGGGGAGAAAAAGTCCATCAACAGAATATGTCTTCCTAGTATTTCACCATGATCATCCCAACCCCATAATGATTAGATGAAAATATCACTTATCACCCAGAACAGGCAGCAGAGAGCCTTCTCTCAGAAAGGACACATCAAAAACATGAAAGATCAAAAAAGGACAGGTTCTACTCCCTAAAGAAACAAAGAGACAGGACTACATTTGAATAGAAAGGTCATTGCCAAAAGCCAATAGCCAATAAAGGTTGATAGGTAAAAGAGAGATTCTGATTTTGGAATTCAAGTGCATAAAAATGATGTAAAATCCTTAAACAAGGAAAAGACACACCACTATTTCAATGGTAGGCGTTTTCAGAACTGCCTCAGTAATCAGAATGAAAATATAAGGATAATCCAAAACCAGTTCCACAATCCACCGGAATTCTAATAGCCCTTGTGACTTTATTTACCTCTATCTGGGAGGCATTAGCTCACATCACACAACACAGTGGCTGCTTTTCTGGTGATGGTTATGGAAGAGTTTAGAAATGAGTCTCAGCCTTCATTATTCCAAACTGACAAATCTTACTAAGACCAACTAATGAATCAATCAGCAAATGGGAAACATGGGAGACATTTAAAAAAAAAAGATTTGAAAACCTCAAGATTAAACTTTCCAAGAATATCATTTGTCAAGCCATAAGTCATTCAGTGACATAAAGGGCCTAAAAGACATGATGTTCCCCCAGATGTAATCCCCTTCCGACAGTAATTCTACAATAAGTATTTTCACTAATTTAATATACCCATAGTTTTTTGTTTTTAAATGAAAAAAGTCTGAGGGAGATGGGATATTAACCTTTGGTTCTAATAGGTTTCAAACTCTCCTGACCAGGTTTTAGGATGAGGTGAGAACAGTGGCAGAGAGATAAAGGACAAAAAGAAGAGATGAACAAAACTGCTACTTTTCACCTCCCTCCAGGGTTCATTCAGAAAAATGTATTAAAGGTCATGAGCAATCTGTGAAAAAGAAAATAAAACTTTCTTATAAGGAAAGCTGCTAAATACTGGGATAGGCTGAATCTCTTTCCTAGATACTCTTGTTAAGTATGAATTTTTATCTGAATGACTTCTAATCCCTCCTACTAATCCCAGAATCTAAATACATATAATTTAGGAACAGACAATATATTCTGGATTTTGTGTAACTCTCATTGAATTTAGCAATGTGACTACAGGCAATTACTTTAACAATTCCACCTAGCAAATGTTATCTTGCATTACTTAAAAGTATTTTTATAGACGTAAACAAAGCTTAAAGAACTGCATATGAAAATACTATATAATATTAAATTCTTTTTCTTGACAGGGTTTGTCTTCAGTATCGGGAGAGTTTCAAATCCCCTAGACTAAATGCATGTTCTCCACTTTCATCGATGCTTTTCTTCATAAAGTTATAATTTTGCTATACCCTTGAAATTTAAAAAATGTTCTGATAAAGTGTAAAAAGCTAAGGGTATGTGGTTTTCAATATCATAAACCTAAAAATACTTAAGTTTTTAAATTTTATAAGTTTATTTTGCCTACTCTTAATCCAAATCTATTTTGACCTTCTTTTCTACCGGTTACCCCCAAACCACTAAAAGGCACAGCAGTGATCTATGAATGGTGAGTGAGTCAGGCCATAAGATCGCTTCCTCAGTAAGGATATTCTAGGCCATGTTGAATTGAGGGTGGAGAATGAATACTGTGGTTTTCCTTATCCTGTGAAACTCAGGGGGGGATGCAAAATGAGGAAAGTCATCTTAAAGGTGTTTCCTTTCCATTTAGCTTATAAATAAAACAGAGTTTAAGTGTGAGAACAGCAGAGCAGAACAAAGAGGCCTCCAATTTGTTGTGGGCTTTTGCAAGCATGGCATAAAGCTGCTAAAGGCTAGATATTTCAGAGTATGTAGTACACTCCAAACCTACCACTCCCTAACAGCTTCAACTTTGTGCCACCCACAATCCTAGTGAGAAATGAAAAGGTGTTGAAGGAAACCAATAATATCCAAAGTTGTCTGCTTTTTAAATAGCTTTTAAAGTATCTATCTGCCCCAGACAAAGTCATTCCCATAATCTAGGCAGAAATGGGAGTATGTTGGCATGGCCAACAAAAACTACAAACATATAGTAAAAAGGCAATGCAGATTATGTAACATGTAATTACAGTTAGGCTTAACAAACATGAACTTCAAGTGGTGTATTTTTCCAATGCTAAAAAGCAAGGCCTTTAAAATTCCATTATCTTAGGACGTTTTTAAATGATTACTTTAAATGTGATTATTTCCTAAACCACACAAGAGTAAAATAGAGCATTTATTGATGGAATAACAAAAGTGCTTTTCTTAAATATTCTTCAAAATACATTTGTACAACTTACAATAATATATCCAAAATAACTGTATATACAAAACATTACCTAGTTTTAATGTATGTGCTTTTTTCCCCAAAAATTACAAAGTAACTTCTTTTTAATTTTTTTTGGCAAAGTTCAACCTTAACAGAGGTGACAATTTTAAAGGTTGGTTTAAGAAAATAGAACCTGAGGGAAATTGACACGCAAGAGTCAATGACAAGCAAGAGATTTGGAGGAATATTTTTAGTTTGTTAAATAAAAATGTTTTTTAGAGTGATACTTTTCACATTACAAAAATAAACCAAAATGAAGAAAAGGTCACTGTAAAATGATGGAAAAAAGATCTGTAGATTTGCTTTTAGTATTTCAAATAGCCAACAATGCATGTCAGAAAATGAATGCAAGATCACAACAGTCTTGTATTTACTTTGTATTTGAAGAAGATAGTGAAATAAGTGGCCACATTCTATTTTCTTTTAATTGCTATTAATATGGTTGATCTGATTGGCTCTTCGATGAATTTCATCCAAGAAGTTCTCCAGTTGTTCTATTAGCATTCGTTTTTTAAACCTGTATGAAAAAATAAATAGTACTCTCAATTACTTTTTAATGAATAGTATATAGCAGTATAATTTTTTTTAAAAAGGGGAGAAAATTGCTTTGGGAAGATTTTTCAAAGTGAAATGAAAATAGAAAAATCAATACTATGACAATAGAAAATACGTTGAAAGATTAGCAAATTATTATACCAGTACAGTATTTTAGTTTGTCCCTAAAACACTCTATACCTAAACAATGGGAAAGAGGTTGTTCCTTCCACAACTGAAAAGAAAAAGGAAAAAAACAAACAAAAAAATCAAAAAACTAATATATTCAAAATATATTCAAGGGCTGCAAACACTCTGGTGAAATCTGGGCTCCCAAAGCAAATACTTCAATAGCTTCTTCTCATGCTCTTTGTAAGTTGAATGTTGAAAGGAATGTGAACAAAGTATGAATATAAACTCCCACAAAATGGAAGAAGAAATGAAAATTGGGCAGTAGCATTTAAAAACCATGGTATTCTATTATAATTTGAAAGCTAGCAAATCAAGGATAGACATCTATAATACAGAGTATAGCAAGCAGTTAAAGTTCAAGTAACAACTTTTAAAGATTTTCAGTAACAAATATGGGCAGACTAAAATTGCGTCTACATAATTGCCGACGGTTTTAAGAATATCCCAAGACACTGGACATTTTATTCCTACTTCCTTGCTAGTTGGAAGCTAATATAAATAGCCACTGTAATACTACACAATTCCCTAAAAGGTGGCAGAAGTGAAGTACAGATACCGGGAATACAAATTCCTAATGAGGTTTTAGCTGACAGAATGTTACCATAAAGAGCATAATAGGTTAAATACTCAAAAGTATATGAAAAGTTATAGCCTTATCTTGATCCTGCAAACTGGCCTACGCTCTAGCCACTCCAAAAGTATGAAAAGAAAAGAAAACTAGAAACAAAAACCAACTTTATCTAAAATCTTCACGTGTAGCATAGAAGAGACAGGGGGACAAGGTGTAAGTGTGTTTACATTTAGAAGGTCAAATAAGATAAGCCCCAAGTTTTCTTATAATACTAAAATCCCCAAAATATTGAAGGGAAAATAAAAAATGTTTTTAAACTCATGCAACTATGTTTTCCAGTTAATTGCACTTCTTAATTACCATTTATAACCTTTATCCACCTTCTTTATACAGTGATCCCTCTGTATCCATGGAGGATCAATTCTAGGCCTCCCTATGAACACCAAAATCCATGAATGCTCAAGTCGCTTGTATAAAATGGCCCAATATTTACATGTAACCTGTGTACATTCTCCCATATGCTCTAAATAATCTCCAGATTATTTATAATACTAACACAGTGTAAATAGTATATGAATTAGACTGAATTATTTAGAGAATGACAAGAAAAAAAAAGCCTGTACATATTCAATACAGACACAACCATCCATTTCCCCACCTCCAAATAGTTTCAATCTGTGGTTGCTTGAATCCAGTGAATGTGGAACCCAGGGATACAGAGGGCCAATGTACTAATGATCCTGGGCTACTGAAACAATCAGAATAAGGCCCATTTGTCCAGTTCTGGTCCCCTTAATTACGCTTTCCCATGTAAAAATAAATGACATTCAAATATGTTCTTTTTAGTCACCAATATTAATGCATAAAGGAGAAAAATTAAAGGTTGCAAAATATTAATGTAAAGATATCAAAAAGCTACAGAGAAGAATAAACAAGAATTCTCCAAATATCTAGTAATTTGCAGGGAGAAAAGGTCCATAATTCCTGAAGAATGTGTGTGTGGCTGTTTTCTAAGTGAACTTCTTTCAATAAACTAAAAAAGAGTAAGAATTTATATGTTGGTATGCCATATACATTTATAAACAACACAAGTGCAAAACAGATACTGTTAAAATACTGCCTGTATAAACTGCGGACTCATTTAATCACCATTTCATTATATGCAATAATTTATTTACCTTGATGCTTCTTTAATGACATTTTGTAAAAATATTAGTCTTGTTTGTAAGCTGCCTTGCACATGCTTCAGTAAAGTGAAGATTCTTTCATATTCTTAAAGCAAAAGAAGCAAAAAGAAAAATTAAGTGCCTTTCATTTGTATTCTTATTCAATATTCTTCTTTTGCAGTTTATTATATTAAGATATACTGAGACAAAAACATTCTACATAAAAATTTCACCACTCATTAGAGATTTTATATTTTAACATATATGTAAAAGTACATAGCAACAAAGATAAAACAACTAATCAAACACTGCTCTGTAAGTAAAAGTTCCTATTAAGTTATCAAACATAAAGCTTAAAAGGATGAGTAAATAGCTTTTTGGTAGTATCACTAAAAAATAAGAACAAGTGGCCTTTACAAAACTCCATCCTTACAGTTTAAAATTCTAACAGCTAACATGGGGTAAGTGGGAAGTGGGAGTAAAAACCAAACAGGTTAAGAGTGTTATTCCAGTTTAAAGTTTTCATATGAAACTCTGCAAGGGCTATAAACATCTAAACTCCAAGGACTGATTTGTACCCATTTCTGGACCACCCAGGTCACTGTACTACCCCAGGGCAAGTGATGTGTTAACATCCTCTAAATGAATGCCAATAATACTGAACTTTTTCCCACGAAGTTCTTTTGTGTTCATATACCAGATAGCTTTCGTAACTTTAGTTTTTCGGCCTAAACATATCCTATAATATCACTATCATAGTTTAACTATTAAACATAGTGGTAGGCACTACGACAAGAACTTTACAGACATGAAGTAATTTAATTTTCAGTATATCGTTTGTGAGCTAGCTGCTATATTAAATTCCATTGTTGGTCAGAAGAATATTCAAGATTATGGGTTCCTGTCATGGTAGGAACTGTATGTAATTTATCTGTACAGTGTTGCTCTGCTCTTAGTCCCTGCTGCCTACCATACCTAGTACCTTGGAAATAGAAGATATTCAGTGTTGGTCAGATGAATAAAGAATCTTAACTGAGATGTTGTTCAAGACAGATCTAGAATCATATCTATTCTTTTACTACAGTTACTTGACCTTTTTTTTTTTTTTTTTTGCTTTTTTGAGCACATACAGAAATCAGATCTGATGTTCGTCTCTTATTATACATACTTCTTCCTGGCTTTCGGATCTCTTTCATTATTTGTGCTTTTAATTCAGTATTGACCTCTTCATGGCTTCTGCAATGCATCAATTTCTTTCCTTTGTTGAGTGAAGATGCTGGTATGTTCTCTTCAGCACATTGTTCTTTATCTCTTGGCTCCTCATGATTTTCTAAAAATCCACCAACAGTGAGGTCATTGGTTCCTAAATGGTCATGACCAAGAGCCTCCATATGATTGGTTGGCCGTTCCAGTAAACCAGCTGGAGAAGATGCTGAAAATTCAGTATCCATAGCATTTGGTGTAATGTCTGATGAAAGTTGGTCTGCAACATGATTTTCAACCACATCATGTATTATTGAATCATTAGTGGTCTCTGAAACTAAAAACAAAGATATGGGGAAAAAATTATGAGGCCCAGTCTCAAAGCATACAGTAAATAAAGCTACAAAAGAACATTATTACAGCAAGTCACAACTGATTTCCTTGACTAATGCAAGTTAACAAATAATGTGATATAGTTCTTAAGCATTGCCAAAGATACGGTAGATTTCAATGTGACACATACACAGTATTTACAAAATATTTACAATTTTTGCCCTTAGAGGAAAAAATAAAGTCGATTTCAAGTAGTTTAGTTTTCTGGTTTATTCTATGGCAATTTTATTGAAACAAGTAGGTTGATACTTCAATGAAATATCTATGATCAAAATTATCACGGTCATCTATCTCTAGCTTAGAGAGCCCTAACTCAATATGCCTTATACATCTGGTATCATTTAGAGGTAAAAGTAAATACTGGGTAGTTTTTACTTTCTACTTATACTTCTGCCTTTAAGTTCCAAATTCTGCAGGGAACATACCACCAAACAGGTAATGTTTTACAGTATACCCTTCTAACTACAGAATCTAGTCATCATTTATTCACCAGTGCAAAGCAACCTGGTGCCCACTTCAGTTCATTAGACTACTAAAATTGAAAGCTCGCAAGCCTTCCTCTTAACACCAGATTATTAGACTTGCCCCATAGAAAGCAGCTGAATTTTAAGTTCTCTGATTGCTTACCAACCTCCAGGATACCAGCTGATTTCATCTCTACTGTCCTCATTTCCTGTCCAAACTATTAACTCAATTTACTCATATTCCCCTATACACTCATTTCCACAAATCCCTCAAATTCCTGACTCTCTCCTAAATTTGATTCCATGATTTGCAAACTCCCCTTTACTGAATATTCTGTACAACTTATGCTTTAACTGAAACCCAGCTCTCCTGTATGCAGACTGCTCTCCTTTCCAGACCAAAAGTAGAAATTGCTTTCTCTTGCACACTCTCCATAGGCATAAAAGGACATGCAGTCACTGAATCCTTCACTTCCTAGTGCTATTGCAAAATTACTCCCTTGTACTCTTGTGAGACTCAACCATACCACTCACACTGTCTCTCCTTATCACTATCTTATGCCAACCTCCAGGGCACAAGCCTGTAAGACACTGTTGTCTCTGGCACTCAGTTACAGCCTTCCTTCTGTTGTGCTGAGCTCCTATCAACTCCAGTGGGGAAGGCACCAAGTTCAAGAAGGCAAAGAAGAGATCTAGAGCCAGTAAAGAAGACAAGGGGTTTTGTCGGGGGCTTACATAAAGGGGAGCGAGCCCAGTGGTGGCAAGCTAGGCAGGAGAACCACCTTACATACAGTCCAATGGCAGTGGGCTGGACAGGATAACTGCACGGCCCAGTGGCAGCAGGCTGGACAAAAAAAAGG